TCGGCTCTAAAGGCGACTTCGTTTTAAAAATATTTAATAGATGATCCATTAGGGGTATAAAGCTCCAAGTCTTCTCTTTTGATTCGTCGGAGAGAAAAACAGAAATTTCCACTTCAGAATCCATTAAAAGTTGCGTCTCGATGAACGATCATGAATAAGTAGACGACGCGCGACGGCAGGAGGTTACACGACCCTTTTCAGTAATAGTGTCAACAAGACGAAACGAAACGTAAGTCGTTGTTTTGAAATTTTAGGACAGGACTAGGATACTAACGAATACCACAAATTTAAATATATAATTTGCTCTAAAAATCGATGTTAAATAAAATATAATATACCTAATAAATTAAATAAGAGTTTATACATATTTAAGGAAAAACCTAATTAATTTTAACAATAATAGACGAGAGGCTTGTACCTTGGGCAGGATATTTTTAAACAGGTATTACAAATACAATATTGAAGTTATCTTTTTAAAATTTACACTGGGCTAGGTATAAATAGGTATAAACTATTGTAGTATGTAAAATAAAAATAACAACTGATTACATTAGTTGGTTTTCTTAAAAGAAAAAAAATCCTGAACGCCTACAATTTGCCCAAGGTACAATACGTACGTATTATACCTTGGGCCACCAAAGGTTGCACCTTGGGCTACTGGTAAACATAATTACCAAAACTTTTATTTTAATAATTAACAGATACATTTAAAGTTACATAGAAACAAAATGCGAGAAAATACTCAAAATATCGGTTTATTAGCCTAATGGGCCACACTCTTAAAATTTTCTTCAGAATACTTCACAACAAAATTAGACGCAAATGCGAAGAAGATCTTGAAGATACCCAATTTGGTTTTATATTATATTCGCCTTACAGAAAAGTAGAATATAAACACTAGGTACGCGTGATCAATTCATTCTCAATATCTAGAGATGCTGAAGAGGTATCTACTTGTTACAAAATTCCTTATACTGTAACTGATTATATACAAAAGCGTAAAAAGTAACAAGTAGAAACTCACAAGTAACGACAATTTACATCTCTAAACAAAGACGTTTAATTAGCAGCTTTAACAAATATGGATTCAGTAATTCTTACAAATCACATTTATGTCTGTTAAATTTAATTATATAAATATAATTTTTACTTTTAATAGCTCTATATATGTGTATTGGTATAATTATAGTGTTATTTAAATAAACTTAGAACTGTGAACATTTTTAAGGTGTTTGCTTTTTTTATCAACTTAAGTAAGTAAATTTAATATTATTTTGACTATTATAATAATTATATATTATGATGATAAAAGGGCTGCAAGTGTGGGTCCATAATTGAACAGACATATTAAAAAGGTTAATACGCACAATCTAATATTTACTTTCAAAGTTTTACAGAAGCGATATGTTTCGACGCTTACAATATTCGCCTTATCCTCAGGCCCAGCAAAGAGTTTGTTTTGTTAAAAAACAATAATATAGATATCGCCAATGAGAAGTTTTCCGCTTACATCCAGGGTACTGTCTGTCTTCATCTTTTCCTTATGACACTATCATTGTAGTGAGGTGATATGTTGATCATTATATATGTATGTAAATAAAAGGTCTTACAAGGTGAAGACCTTTAGGTTTTTTAACAAAACAGACTTTTTGCTTTGCCTGAGGATGAGGCAAATATTGTAAGCCTCGAAATCGGTCGCTTCTGAAACTCCTTGAACATAAATATTAGATTGTGAGTATTGACCTTTTTAATATATCTGTTCAATTATCTATTATCTATCTGTTATTTATTATTTTATTACAATATTAGCCTGTAAATAATACTTTGCAGGTTTGTATATAAAGTCACTAAAACAAATTAATATGTATGACACGGATTCTGCCGATGAACTCGTAAACATACCTTTAACTCTCCCCAAAAAGATATCGAAAAAAGGCTATTGAAGCGTAGACGTTAAAGAAATAATTGTAAACGTGTATAAGCACGAGTTACAAGAAAATCCGGCGTTAATATTGTCCGCTGTTAAGAAAAGAGTAGCTGATAAAGTTGGAGTACCGGATAGTTCTGTGTTTAGTTATTAGAGAATATAAAACTACACATACATTATAAACATTATAAACTCGAATTTATAGATTATTTTGACAAGGTAGCGATAAGAAGAATAGTGCAGCACTTCTTTTTTAGAAATGAAATTCCCACGATAGATAGAGTTCTACAACAGGTCAACGACGACCCCAATCTACCTGATTTCAAACGTATTACTTTTTACAAGCTTTTGAAAAAACTTCAATTCAAATTTGAAAAACGTGGCAGGAACAGTATGCTTACGGACAGAGATGACCTTGTAATCTGGAGAATAGAATTTTTATGGCAGATAAAAGATCATAGGAATGACAATCCTAGAATAAATTATTTAGATGAGACTTGAAATAATGCCGGTCATAATAAATCAAAAACATGGATTGATAAGTCAGTTAGCTCATCAATACAAGCATTTTTGGACGAACTCTCGACAGGTCTGAAAAATCCATACGGTAATATTTTTTGTTAAACATTGAAATTGATAAACAACATTTGAGTTTTTGGGAAATTTAAAGAAAAGCGACTGATTATTTGTCACAGTGTAAGCTTGGAATTTTTTAAACATTTTTATGACATACATTGAATCCTATCTGCAGCAGTAATTCATAAAAATGATCTAATACTGTAATGAAAAGTGTTGCCCTATAAAGGGTTAAAGCAGATCTAGAAGATTATACTTGGTAACTTAGTTATAAAAAAATATAATTTTAAATTAATATTTAAAAATTTATGCAACGTAGCTAACATCGGAGTTTAAATAATATGATAAATATTTACCATGCTCTTGGGAAAATCATGATATTTGTGGTATGATTTTCTTTAAAAAAATCATATTTATTAAAATAAAACCCTTTTTTTAAGTTTACAGTACGTTTATTGACGTTTTAATTTCCACTTCGGTAATCGTTCTCAAAATACAAACATTAGTAAATTAAACAAATTTTGTTTTTGTTACTTAGTGAAAAATTCTTCTGAAAAAAAATAATAAAACCCTTTGTTTCATTTCATATTTATACAGCCAAATCCATTAAGTTCGACTATTTGTCTAATCTGCACGTAATACCGTACATAAGGAAATATCGCTGCGGTTTTGTGCTATTGGGTATAGAGGTTCATTTCCATATTTTGTTTTGAAATATACGGCTTTGCTAAGTTCTTGTTTACGAAAGTTTCTCGATATCGTACTTAGAGGTCTTTGTAGTATTTCCGGTATAATAGCCACGCATTTGAGCTAAGATTTCTACAAAATAAAATCGAATTTATACGGAAAGCATTTGTTTAATTGCTCTTTGCGGAAATAGTAAAAGCAATTACCAAGGTGTTATTAGACAAATTGGATAAAACAAAATTGTATATAGGTATAACAATAAATACAGTGATAGTCGTTCTTCCCCTCGTATCTTATGGACGGTTTATACTTAGTGAAATTTGGAGGTCAGCAATAAACAGACGCAGGTTTCTTATATTCCATTCGCTTATAATGCTCGGGCAGACTTTGACAGATTCATTTGTAGGAAACCTACAACACAAAATTCCTACTTCTCAGTATTAATAGCTCAAGTATACTACTATTGCAGACTTCTTTCTTTGAAAAAAGAAGAATTATTCTAAATAGTGGAAGTGTATACTAAATCCATCAAAATTTCCCTGTATATTTAAAATATAATATTTGAATTGTTTCAATTATTTAAAATATTGTAGTAAATATTTGTATTATTCGTGTTGTTTATTTTATTTAATATAGTTTTATTGTTTTACCATCTTATCTATAGTATCTACGGCACCTTATGTAGAATTGTAATGCAAGATTATGTCTGTACTTAATTCTGTCTGTATGTAATTTTATCTGTACTCTAATTCTGTACTCAATAAAATTACTGCCTTATTATTTTTAGGAACGTAAGACGCCAGTGTTATTTCCTCAGTAAAGGCAAAAACTGAGGACTTTTCTTGTCTAGAAATATTGGGTAGTAGGGCTGGAGGGATATCCTGCTTCTTTTTTTCGAAGTATTCCACATAATATTATTTGTCGATCTAGGAGTTGTTTTGCCAAGGGAACACTGTAAAGAAATTATCAGTAGAAATGAGACCAAATCAAGTACTACTCTTTTGCCCTGGTCTTTTTCTGGTTTGTTGCCATCTTTTCCAGTATAAATCTGAAGGTTAGCAGCATAGGTGATTGTTGCATCAACTAGAGCCCATATTTTGATGCCATACTTGGCTGGTTTTGATTTCATGTAGACTCTAAATGGACACTTACCTCTAAAACTTACAAGTTGTTCATCAACAGTTAGATGAGAGTGGCACTTAAAACTTTCTTTACAGTGTTCTACAAACTTTGTAAACACTTTTCTAAAAGCTGCTAGTTTGTCAGAACTTCTACGTTCTTCTCTAGTGTTTAAATTATCGAATCGCATAAGTGAAATTAAATCTAAAAATCTAAAGGGTTTCGACACCACAAAAAGTGCACTGGTTCCCTATTGGCCTTTAGCGTACCCGCCGTAATCAAGAGTCCCAAGACCGCATAAATTTCCACTGAATCAGTGGGCAACCAGGTTCTTGTTTTATTAGGATTTTTTCCATTCCAATCCTGAAAGTATTTCTCCGCTTTCTGGTTTGTACATTTGATGATGATCTCTACAATTTTCTTATCTACAAACAATTTGAAGCAATCACTGATTTTAGCGACATTTTTTAGATTTTTCTGTAAGCCCTGGTTTTTCGAGCAAGTTTTTTGTGCGACATCTAGTTTTTCGTAAAGGACGATTTTTCCAAACTGTACCATTCTTGGAAATAAATGTGAAATCTACTGCCCCAAAACTGGTTTTATCAGAATCATTAATGTCGCTCTCAGCTGACTAAAATAATAAATAAACTCAAGATAGAAATATCGTACATAAAACAAAAATAAAAATTACCTGCAGAATTTCAGGCTCATATTCCGCTACTTCTAAATTATCATCTAATTCTGAATCATCCGATAAATATATCTCTTTTAGAAAGGTAATCATCATCACTTTCCTCTAACCACTGCACTGCAGTGGTTAGAGGAACTGCACTGCAGTTTCAAGACCCTGTTCTTTCCGAAGGTCTAACTTTATTTTTTTCGACATATCGGTAAATCGTTGTAATCACAAATGGATAAACTAAAACGGTATGTTAGCACTAAGTCATCCACAGAACTAATTTGTGTGTTATTGCAAACAACAGGTTTGGTGCCTTGCGCAAAACGTCTGATTTAGTCAGTGGCGTCGACCGCATGAGGTACAACTTGTACCTGAAGTACAGTGCCGCACTTTTCATAAGTAAAAATATGTCAAATTAAAAACAAATGGTTGGATATGCTTTTACACATCCCAATGAAGAAGTAACTAGAACAGTTAAACAAAATTCCAACATTTTTAAAAATTATTCATGAAAAATCGAATTTGAAGTACAATCTGTACCCCCCTCCGGTAGCGGAAGGTTAATTAATGGCCGAATGAAAACCCTATTGATGTAAGTTGATCAATAAAATGTATACATTGAATTAGGTAAATATTACAGATGTTCTTAATAACAAAAAACATTTCAGTTAACATCCAAATGTCTGAAAGTCTCACAAAAAATGTGCCTAAATATAGCGTTGGGCGTAATAAAACCCTCACTTTTACGAAGAAACGTGACAAGAGGAAATTAACGACTGACTTAAATTATACCAGCATCAAAAATTAAATTTGATTAGAAATTTTTCGCATGTATGAAGAAAGTTTCTAATACATATAAAAGTTGCGCCAAATGTAGGCAACCAACTTAAAGTTTTTGGTAGAATTTAGCTTGAGTTTCTTGAGAATAGTTTCAATAAACGAAAAAATTTTAATATTATCCAGCTAATAATAAGCTCTTTTAAAAGTGATGATAATAACGCTGAATAAGCAATATTTTAAATGATATATAATCACAAAATATACTCAATATTGTGTTATATAATCCACATAATAAAGTACGTTAGATAAAAAAGGTAAAATCCCCGGTCGTCCAAAACTAGTTTCTGATAAGAATAATAGAATATTAGTATAAGTTTGCAAAAAAGGTAACTAACTTCACTAGACAGTTCGGACTGGGAATAGCGAACCGAGTATAACTAATTATAACAAGTAACGTAATGGTGATAGATGACGTTACAGCGCAACTGTGACAGATAATTTGAAATAGGATCTTATGGCAAGTGATACCTCGTTTGAAAGGCATTGAAAATATCTATTCAAATATACTAATTTTATGTCAGTTTAAGTTATTTTGATAAAGAAATTAAATAAATACTAAAATTGTAATTTCGCATTTAATTAATAAATATTAAAACCTTCGTCTTTGGTTACTTGTCAAAAAGATGACATTTTTCAATTTTCTAATTATTTTTACACAAACGTCAACTTTTATGACAATCAACCAGAGGCAAACGTTGAAATATTTATTAATTAAATGCGAAACTACAATTGAGGCTATGAGAGCAAGAGTGGCTAACCAACATTTTGTTGATAATTGAGTTATAGATTGCAATCACTTCTATCAACCTAAAGTTTTAAAGCAAAACTGGTCTAACCATTATTTTCATATATTATAACATAAATCTCTCCAGTAAGATGATTTTGCATTATAGAAAATAACATAGAATGTCCTGATGTTTTTTTAACAAAAACGGTAAAAATTGCTGTAAATAAAAAAAATTATTGAAAATATAATAGATAACAATTATTTTTCGAATAACACATCATTCAAATGTCCACCGCGACTACGTTTGCAGGAGTGCATCCGATGAACCCAATTTTCGGTCACTTTGTGCAAAATATCCGCATTAATCTCACAAATGGTGTGCTCTATGTTCCTCTTCAAGTCTTTAATAGATTGTGGTTTGTTCACAGAGATCAATCACTTAACATAGCTCCATAAAAAATAATCCCACGGTGTTAAATCGCAGCTTCTTGGAGGCCAAGCATCTGGTCAAAGTTGCTGAATTCTCCTGGGATCTCTGGCATCAAGAGAAATTAATGTTTCCGGGGACTTTTTCCTTAATAAATAAATGATTGGGGCAGTAGTGTGACATATGGCACCGTCCTGTTGGAAAAACATGCCATTCAAATCCATTTCATCCAACTGAGGCCACAAAAAATCCGTTATCATCGTCCGGTACCTTTCACCGTTGACTGTTACACCATGTTCGAAAAAATAAGGTCCGATGATGCCACCATGCCATAAACTCTGGATTTTCGATAAAGGCTTTTCAAGAATCTTATGTGGATTATTTTACTTCAAAAATGACAATTTTGCTTATTCACAAAGCCGTTTAACCAAAAATGAGCTTCATCGGAAAGATATATTTTTTTGAAAAAAGCGACATCATTTTCGAGTTTGTCTAGAGACCAATCAGCGAACAAACTACGCTTATGATGGTTAAGTGGCTTCAGTTCTTGAGCCAGAACAATCTTGTAAGTGCAAGTTTCTGCAAGTTGTCATTCTGGTGAGTCCAAGTTCTTGAGACAATGCAAATGTGTCCGTAAATTGTTACGGACACATTTGCATTGTCCGCTACACTGGCTCTTACAGCAGCAATATTGTCCTGAGTTCTTGCATTTCGGCGTCTAGTTGGTGGTTTCGTATCGTGCAAAGTAAATTCACGTTCAAACTTTTCCACGATTCGACGAATTACACGCACATTAGGACGATTATTTGGTCCATAACTTTCACGTAATGTACGGTAGGTATTCACAAAAGAACGATTATTAGCATAAAATTTTAGGATAATTTCCAAATGTTGTTCAAGCGTATATCTTGCCATTGGTAATTTGTTAGAGTATACTAAATACAAACGTTACCAAGTGACAGTTCCTACCATTTTCAAAATGACCGCTATCACATTTCAAAAACAGGACGTCTCTATTGGGAAACCTATTACTAGTAATCCTGTCTCATTCCACATATTTCGAAAAATATTTAATACCCAATTTAATATTGGATTCCATGCACTAAATACGGATTCGTGCAAAAAATGTGATTTGAATAACAATAAAATAAAGTTCTCAACAGTTCAAGCAAGAAAAACGTGAATTTGAAGTAACACTAGAGGTTCACCAACGAAAGGCAGACCGTTCTAGATGTGGTATGAAACAAGATGCAGAGTATGCAAAACAAAATCCTGAAGAAATTACAGTGATTGAATTTGACTGAATGCGAACGTTGCCCACACCAGTTATCAGCACTGAAATTTCTTACTATAAACTCCAGTTTTGGACTTACGTCTTAGTAGTCCATAATTTGGCTACTAATAATGCTCATATATATGTTTGGAACGAGACAAAAGCATCACGAGGATTATATTTACTGCATTATTTTAAAAATGTTACAACAAAAAATGTAATACTATATTCCAATCAACGCCGAGGTCAGAACCGTAACATTAAAATGGCTGTCCTTTGTGATTTTATTGTGTCACATCCTGATATTATGGTGGAAAATATTTATCATAAGTTTTTAGTCAGCGGACATACTTACCTTGCCTGTGACCAAGATTTCGGAGTAATGACTAAGCCAAAAATTTTTTTTTTCTGTTCTATTAAGAAGGTAGAAAGAATTATAACAAACCGCAAACTTGATACACGAAAATCAAAAGTCCAATCGTTACAGATTTAGTGGTTGCAATATAATGCCGGGTCCAGACCAAACAGACAAAACAAAAACATTCATGTTTCGCGACAAAGTGGCGACAAATCGAAAACATTTGTTGAGACATTTCTGAACAATTTTGTTTTGTTTGCAAATTTGAAAACTTTTTCAGGTCCCGCCTCAGGTCGGTAAAGATCAAAAAGTCTGTGTTTTGTCTGTGTATTTGACGACAAGTTGTCGGCGCAGTGTGGACTATATTAAGCTATATTAAACAGTAGGAGAAATTGAATGTACAATTTTTATCAAAATTAAGTGTATTTTTCTGTTACTTATTCTCAACACAAATGTTCACTTCAACTCCATCCAATTCCAACCCACAACATTTGTACTCAAATCCACCCAGCACTGACACACAACATTCATACTCAAATCCTCCCAGCATTGACACACGTTCATACTCAACTCCTCCCAGCATTGACACACATTTATACTCAAATCCACCCAGCATTGAACATTTATACTCAAATCCACCCAACACGCAACATTCATACTCAAATCCACCCAGTGCTGACCCACAAAATTATTACTTAAATCCACCAAACACCAACACACAACCTTTATTTTCACATCCACCTAGTATTGACACAGAGCTTTCTCAGTATTCAGATCAAGAAAACGAACGAAATTGATGATGAACTTTTTGAATGTAAAAACAAGTAGACTCGTCATTATTTTGCATGCAGTATGTACCTATCGTCAACTTCTTTTGTTTTAAACATTTAACCAATAAATATGGAGTTTATTTTTAAGGGAAATTAACAGAAAAATAGCAATGAAAAAAGTTTAACATACCTGTACATAACCACTAAGACTGTTAATTAAAGCTTTACATACTTCAGGTATTATTACAGATATTGATTGCTTTGATACTTTTGAAAGATACATTAGGCTGTGGTAGGAATCACCTGTTACTAAAAATCTTAAAGTGATTGCTAACCTTTCTGTTACACTCATAGCATTTCTAAAGTTAGTATGTCTTTTTGCAACTGCAGGACCAACAAGGCATATTAGATTCTCAAAATCTTCGGTGGACATTCTTAAAAAAATTTTGAAGCTTGATCGAATTTCACCACTTAGTCCAATATCATCTGCTCGCAGCTGAACTAACAATTTGTTTATCGAACAACTTCCTCGCATTTTTAGGCTTGGTCTAATCCAAAAACGTTTGGGTTTTCTTTTAGCAACCTGGGACGATGATGAGAGCAAAAAAAAACTTGCGGCTAGCAATAAATCTTCATTTCATTTTTTTCTTGATTAAAACGCCACATGGCTAACCAACACTAATCACAACAACAACGTCACCAACTGAATT